AACAAAATACACGAGATTTTAGTGACATACACGGGACATTAATGAAATACACGAGATATTAGTAAAACACAGGAAATCTTAGCTATGTAGCTGAGAAATCACTGAATATATGAGATATTAGCATATTGATTTAGATATCGGGGCGAGGGTGAATGAGAGTGAGTAGCGGCTCTTTGATTTTTGGAATTTGCACGGAATGGTGGAACAAGACGCTATCCGTTCTAGAAAAATAAAAGTACCCATTATCTGGCTATAGTGAAACGCTATTTGCAAGCACGCCTTTTGGAATGGGGACCCGAAGTATCCCCTCGCCTTTTGAACGAAACCTAGTGAGTTATAGGCTATCGATGATGCTGATTCTGAATATGAATATGAGAGCTGCACTTAAGGCTTCGAAGACCCGGTTTTCTGAAAAACCAGTGTTTCAGAAACTCTGAGTTATAGAATTTACAAGAAAAGCCCTAAATATTTATTGTCAACTCGAAGCTACAGAAATAAGGAGAAATTAATTTAGGCTCTTCGTGTAAATCCTATAACTTTGCAAAGAAAGGTCATGTAGAGCTGGGAGAGGTCTCATTTTAATCAGAAATGTGCGGGCTATGAGCATGGCTCATTAAGAAAAGCTTTGGATGTTTTTCAGAAAACCGGGTCTTCGAAGCCTTAAGGGCAGCTCTCATATTCATATTCGGAATCAGCATCATCGATAGCCTATAACTCACTAGGTTTCGTTCAAAAAGCGAGGGGACACTTCGGATACTTCCCTTGTCAGCTTCAAGGATTTCTTTTATCTACCAACAATAAAAGACTACTAACAAATCACACTTTTAGTTCCCTAATATCTCGTGTACTTTACTAAAATCTCGGAAATTCTTAATATCTAAATCAATATGCTAATATCTCATGTATTCACCAAAATCGCACTTTTAGTGCCCTAATATCTCAGGTATTATATTAGTTTCTCATGTAACAGCTAAAATCTCGTGGGCTTCACCAATATCTCGTGTATCTTGTTGATATCTAAAATCGCGAGATATCAGGCATTCCTCGCACCCAGAGTCATTCCTGACAGTTAGCAGTTTGTCTTGTTAGCAGTCAACATCTTGTTTCAAGAACATTATCTATCTGCGAGGATTTTCAGCAATGTGCATTTATATTAATAAGTAAAAATTATCTATTCTTCTTTGTTGACATATGTTAAAAGGTTTTCTGAGTCCTAAATTACTGCTGATCTCTGTTATCAGACTATATTCTACGTTAGAAATGAAATCCACGGCTGCTGTCAAACTGTGAGGATAGAAAGTAATTACATGTTATTTCTGCAGCTCTTAGAGTCAGCATTTTTGAAAATCTGCGTAAAATTGTGACGTCTTTATGCTTAAGTCTTAATTTTCATAGCCGTTCAGCGAAAGTTCTGCGTCATAAAAGTTGTCACATTTCGTTAAAGTCGTCTTTCTTATGCAATGATGTATAGATTCAATTGACTAGACTATGCCAATAATCTTGACATCTATAATGACTGTTCATTTGTTCATCCGCCATCTTTGCACTCATTTTAGCCGTTTCTTCTTAATATATTATTCTGAGTTTCTGAAAAACTGGCTTTTCAGAAAACCGGGTCTTCGAAGCCTTAAGGGCAGCTCTCATATTCATATTCGGAATCAGCATCATCGATAGCCTATAACTCACTAGGTTTCGTACACTTCGGGTACGCTCCGTATATTAAAATGAAAACGACGACAGCGACGGACGCTTTCTATCTGCTCTTAATACATACAACAGGTGTAGTTTATGCCCAGTTCTCTTCCTTTCTTTCTTCTCTGTGCCTGCTAGTTTGCCGACTCGGGAGAGAGAGAGAAGCACTGTGTAAAAAAGGTATAACACAGTAAACACAATACACCCTCACAAAATAGCACCCTTTTTTTCTGTTCGACGTCTGTCTGCTGTTCTGTTAAAAAAAGAAATTTGCTTTTTTCTGTTCTGTTCTTATACCGTTGTTGTTTTTCGTAGATAATACAGCTTGCTTCTATTTGCAAATAATGTACGACAGGGTGTCGACGCCCAGAAAGTGCTGTTAAAAAAGGATTCTTCTTAGCTTTGAAAAAGGGAAGTTTGTTTTTTCTTCTTTTTATACACATGCACGTTCCTAGAGGAAAGGAAAAACTTAGCGCAAAATGTCTTCCTTTAGCTTCGCTCTTGTATCTCAAGTAAGTAAACTCGTTCTAATCAATTAGTAAATACAATCAACATTGAGTAGATTCATGTAAAAGGGTTCATCATCCCCAAAGAGTAAATTTAGCATCCAACTGTTTGTTATATCGACCACCCTTTACTTCCACCTTATTCAAAATGTCTCTTATTCCTGCCAGTTCTTCTTTGCTCAACTGAATTTCATTTGCTTTTGCATTTTCGGCCACTCGTTCTTTACTCGTTGCACCCGGAATAGGAATGATATTATCCCCTTGTGCTAAAACCCAAGCAAGAGCCAATTGAGCCGGTGTACATCCACGTTTCTTTGCAAAGGCACTCAATTGATCGACCAATTGTATATTGTTTCCCCAATTTTCTGGTTGAAAACGATCAAAGCGACGACGCAGGTCGTTCTCAGGTAGATCTTCAGGCTGTGAAGAAAGAAACGTCTTTGTGATATATGCACTGTCCTCTGCAGAAGAGGAAAAAGTACGTACCTTTTTAAGTTCTCCCGTTAAGAAACCTCGTCCCAAAGGCGAATAGGCAATCACTGAAATGCCCAATTCCTTGCATGTTTCCAGTACCCCATTTGTTTCCGCTTCCGTGCTCCAGAGTGAATATTCTTAATGAATTAAAGGAAATTAAGGAACGCAAAGAGATGAAATACGAACGAACCAATTTCAACAGCAGTAATAGGATGAACTGCATATGCTCTTCGAATTGTCTCGGCAGAACATTCGGACAAGCCAATGTGGGAGATTTTTCCCTCTTTCACAAGTTGAGCGAGAGCTTTTATTGTTGTTTCAATCGGCGTTTTCTGATCCACTCGACCACATTGAAATAGATCGAGTTTTTTCGTTGGACCAAGATGTTGAAGGATATTTTCTACATTCTTTCGAACTCCTTCTTCACTTCCATCGGGTGAAAATGTTTGCAAATTCATACCTCCTTTTACACTCAGGAAGATCTAAGAATAAGAAGAGGAAGAGTATAGCCGTCTCTAGACATTTGATTCCAGAATAGCAGTTTCTTTTCAAAGCTTTTTCTTATTCCGGTTTTCAACTATAAGTGCACACTTATCTTTTTTTCAAATGCTTTGAGCACTCGTGCTTGTTTGTACAGACTGTACCCTTTTGTCATTCTCCTTTCCTCAGCTCAGCAAAGGCGAGGAAAGAACTGCGACCGACTTGGTTCAAAGTTCTTTACATAATGAAATGGTATATGAAGTATTTTCAAAACGACGATGTCAACAAATAGGAAATTCTGCCACAAAAATGAGATACTGGAAGATTTCATGCTTCCAAACAAACAAACATTTCCTGACTCAGAGGAGCTCTGTCACACAGTACATCAGTCTGAAGAAGAAGAAAGACCAACCTTGGGAGCATCTTGTGGATATTTGTCAAAGTATCTCTTGAGAAGATCAAGATTGAGTGTCGGCTCTGGTGTGCCATAAAATTCACCCGAATCCCAAAAGGTACAACCAGTTTCGAGAGCCGTTTTCATGGCTGCAAATGCTTGTTCATCGGGTGTTTGCACTGCACGCCACGTCATTCCCATGAGGCCAAAGCCAATTTTTCCAACCGACAGGGAAGAAGCCATTTTTTTTGAAGTTAATCGACTAGAAAGATAGTGATCTAGAAGGAAGTATGGAAACAGAAAACGATTGTCAAAAGGATTCAGATAGTATGCGCATAAACAAACACACAGGGTTAGGTACAGCAGAATTGCTAGCACTACAGTTTTTTCAGATTTTTTAACGAGTTGAGCGGTCTTTCATACTTTGTTGTAAGAGCTGAACAATTTGCACGATCACATCTCTTTCTTCACTTCGACGATAAGGAAAAACACTACTGTAGCTGTAGGTCACTTACCAACTGTGTGCTGGATATTGTTTCAGAAGAAAAGAAAGTATCTCGACTTGCCTTTATAGTGACAACATAATGAGGAAGAAAAAAAAGAAAGCTGACAAATTAAGAAAAAATAACACACTCATTCACTTTTTTTTTGCTTTGTAATGCTTTCAGAGCACAAAACGAGACGTGCGTGCGTGAGTACCTTAAGAACAAGAAAAATAGAGAGGACAGACAAAGCCGTGCTCAACTCACAGTTAGAACGAACGAAAGGAGCGAGGACAGAAGGAAGAAAAAGAGAGAAAGAAGAAAGAAGAAATAGAAATGTATAGATATTGGGCCATGCAGTTCTCTAAGTTCAAGGATAGACAAAGAATGCGGCTGTTAAGCTATCTTCCGTTTTTCCAACACTACGGTCATGTTATCCTTCAATATTTCAGAAAAATAAAGTCTATCTCCATGTCCAAGTTCTGGTACAAAGACATTTCATCATATCTATTGTGTGTGTGTGCCTTATACTAATGCCCCCCTGCAAAAGTTTCGGTAAACGTTAACCTGCCAGAGGTGAGCGATAATAAGAAACCCTTAAATTGAACTATTTGACTTTAGACAATTTTTGAACAGATTTCTTATGTGTAAAACTCAGTGATTTATTTGCTGAGAACTTTATTCTTTTGCATGCTTGTATGTGCCAAACGGTATGTGTCTGAAACTCTCTAATTGATGAATACTCAATTTCAGTTGATAACAGTGGTTTAGTCTTCTACTGTCGTGTGGGTTTACAGTTTATTGATGAAACTTATTTTCTTTCTCTACTTGTTCTACTAGCCAAGAATAAGTGGCTATCGTATGAATAAACGATTGTCGCCTATGCATTAGAGAAGAAAACAAACTATATAAACGATAATCGCATATCGGTAAGGAAATATATAAGATAGACGATAGAAAATAACAAACCTATAATAACGTGTCACTTTCAGAATAGAACGAAAAAGACTATCGAAACACTTTTATCTCACCTGTAGGTAAAATGTAGTAAAGAAAAAACATTCCGCTGCGACCACAAAACATTGTTGAATAATCCTAATGTAAATGAAAAGAACTCATGACTGTATATAGTCTTTTCCGTTATATTCTGAAAGTGACACGTTATTATAGGTTTGTTATTTTCTATCGTCTATCTTATATATTTCCTTACCGATATGCGATTATCGTTTATATAGTTTGTTTTCTTCTCTAATGCATAGGCGACAATCGTTTATTCATACGATAGCCACTTATTCTTGGCTAGTAGAACAAGTAGAGAAAGAAAATAAGTTTCATCAATAAACTGTAAACCCACACGACAGTAGAAGACTAAACCACTGTTATCAACTGAAATTGAGTATTCATCAATTAGAGAGTTTCAGACACATACCGTTTGGCACATACAAGCATGCAAAAGAATAAAGTTCTCAGCAAATAAATCACTGAGTTTTACACATAAGAAATCTGTTCAAAAATTGTCTAAAGTCAAATAGTTCAATTTAAGGGTTTCTTATTATCGCTCACCTCTGGCAGGTTAACGTTTACCGAAACTTTTGCAGGGGGGCATTAGTATAAGGCACACACACACAATAGATATGATGAAATGTCTTTGTACCAGAACTTGGACATGGAGATAGACTTTATTTTTCTGAAATATTGAAGGATAACATGACCGTAGTGTTGGAAAAACGGAAGATAGCTTAACAGCCGCATTCTTTGTCTATCCTTGAACTTAGAGAACTGCATGGCCCAATATCTATACATTTCTATTTCTTCTTTCTTCTTTCTCTCTTTTTCTTCCTTCTGTCCTCGCTCCTTTCGTTCGTTCTAACTGTGAGTTGAGCACGGCTTTGTCTGTCCTCTCTATTTTTCTTGTTCTTAAGGTACTCACGCACGCACGTCTCGTTTTGTGCTCTGAAAGCATTACAAAGCAAAAAAAAAGTGAATGAGTGTGTTATTTTTTCTTAATTTGTCAGCTTTCTTTTTTTTCTTCCTCATTATGTTGTCACTATAAAGGCAAGTCGAGATACTTTCTTTTCTTCTGAAACAATATCCAGCACACAGTTGGTAAGTGACCTACAGCTACAGTAGTGTTTTTCCTTATCGTCGAAGTGAAGAAAGAGATGTGATCGTGCAAATTGTTCAGCTCTTACAACAAAGTATGAAAGACCGCTCAACTCGTTAAAAAATCTGAAAAAACTGTAGTGCTAGCAATTCTGCTGTACCTAACCCTGTGTGTTTGTTTATGCGCATACTATCTGAATCCTTTTGACAATCGTTTTCTGTTTCCATACTTCCTTCTAGATCACTATCTTTCTAGTCGATTAACTTCAAAAAAAATGGCTTCTTCCCTGTCGGTTGGAAAAATTGGCTTTGGCCTCATGGGAATGACGTGGCGTGCAGTGCAAACACCCGATGAACAAGCATTTGCAGCCATGAAAACGGCTCTCGAAACTGGTTGTACCTTTTGGGATTCGGGTGAATTTTATGGCACACCAGAGCCGACACTCAATCTTGATCTTCTCAAGAGATACTTTGACAAATATCCACAAGATGCTCCCAAGGTTGGTCTTTCTTCTTCTTCAGACTGATGTACTGTGTGACAGAGCTCCTCTGAGTCAGGAAATGTTTGTTTGTTTGGAAGCATGAAATCTTCCAGTATCTCATTTTTGTGGCAGAATTTCCTATTTGTTGACATCGTCGTTTTGAAAATACTTCATATACCATTTCATTATGTAAAGAACTTTGAACCAAGTCGGTCGCAGTTCTTTCCTCGCCTTTGCTGAGCTGAGGAAAGGAGAATGACAAAAGGGTACAGTCTGTACAAACAAGCACGAGTGCTCAAAGCATTTGAAAAAAAGATAAGTGTGCACTTATAGTTGAAAACCGGAATAAGAAAAAGCTTTGAAAAGAAACTGCTATTCTGGAATCAAATGTCTAGAGACGGCTATACTCTTCCTCTTCTTATTCTTAGATCTTCCTGAGTGTAAAAGGAGGTATGAATTTGCAAACATTTTCACCCGATGGAAGTGAAGAAGGAGTTCGAAAGAATGTAGAAAATATCCTTCAACATCTTGGTCCAACGAAAAAACTCGATCTATTTCAATGTGGTCGAGTGGATCAGAAAACGCCGATTGAAACAACAATAAAAGCTCTCGCTCAACTTGTGAAAGAGGGAAAAATCTCCCACATTGGCTTGTCCGAATGTTCTGCCGAGACAATTCGAAGAGCATATGCAGTTCATCCTATTACTGCTGTTGAAATTGGTTCGTTCGTATTTCATCTCTTTGCGTTCCTTAATTTCCTTTAATTCATTAAGAATATTCACTCTGGAGCACGGAAGCGGAAACAAATGGGGTACTGGAAACATGCAAGGAATTGGGCATTTCAGTGATTGCCTATTCGCCTTTGGGACGAGGTTTCTTAACGGGAGAACTTAAAAAGGTACGTACTTTTTCCTCTTCTGCAGAGGACAGTGCATATATCACAAAGACGTTTCTTTCTTCACAGCCTGAAGATCTACCTGAGAACGACCTGCGTCGTCGCTTTGATCGTTTTCAACCAGAAAATTGGGGAAACAATATACAATTGGTCGATCAATTGAGTGCCTTTGCAAAGAAACGTGGATGTACACCGGCTCAATTGGCTCTTGCTTGGGTTTTAGCACAAGGGGATAATATCATTCCTATTCCGGGTGCAACGAGTAAAGAACGAGTGGCCGAAAATGCAAAAGCAAATGAAATTCAGTTGAGCAAAGAAGAACTGGCAGGAATAAGAGACATTTTGAATAAGGTGGAAGTAAAGGGTGGTCGATATAACAAACAGTTGGATGCTAAATTTACTCTTTGGGGATGATGAACCCTTTTACATGAATCTACTCAATGTTGATTGTATTTACTAATTGATTAGAACGAGTTTACTTACTTGAGATACAAGAGCGAAGCTAAAGGAAGACATTTTGCGCTAAGTTTTTCCTTTCCTCTAGGAACGTGCATGTGTATAAAAAGAAGAAAAAACAAACTTCCCTTTTTCAAAGCTAAGAAGAATCCTTTTTTAACAGCACTTTCTGGGCGTCGACACCCTGTCGTACATTATTTGCAAATAGAAGCAAGCTGTATTATCTACGAAAAACAACAACGGTATAAGAACAGAACAGAAAAAAGCAAATTTCTTTTTTTAACAGAACAGCAGACAGACGTCGAACAGAAAAAAAGGGTGCTATTTTGTGAGGGTGTATTGTGTTTACTGTGTTATACCTTTTTTACACAGTGCTTCTCTCTCTCTCCCGAGTCGGCAAACTAGCAGGCACAGAGAAGAAAGAAAGGAAGAGAACTGGGCATAAACTACACCTGTTGTATGTATTAAGAGCAGATAGAAAGCGTCCGTCGCTGTCGTCGTTTTCATTTTAATATACGGAGCGTACCCGAAGTGTACGAAACCTAGTGAGTTATAGGCTATCGATGATGCTGATTCCGAATATGAATATGAGAGCTGCCCTTAAGGCTTCGAAGACCCGGTTTTCTGAAAAGCCAGTTTTTCAGAAACTCAGAATAATATATTAAGAAGAAACGGCTAAAATGAGTGCAAAGATGGCGGATGAACAAATGAACAGTCATTATAGATGTCAAGATTATTGGCATAGTCTAGTCAATTGAATCTATACATCATTGCATAAGAAAGACGACTTTAACGAAATGTGACAACTTTTATGACGCAGAACTT